TAGCTGGATGGCTGATTTGCTTTGGTTGTCTCTATCTCTGTCTGTCTGTATCTATCTCTGTCTCTGTCTCTATCTCTGTCTCTGTCTCTATCTCTGTCAAACCTCTGTCTCTATCTCTGTCAAACCTCTGTCTCTATCTCTGTCAAGCCTCTGTCTCTATCTCTGTCAAGCCTCTGTCTCTGTCTCACAGGTACACATAAATACAGTTATAGTGTAAATTACCTAGGATAACCCAAAAAATCCAGACAGTGTGCTATACTATGCTTGTAGATATAAGGCATAATAAGCATGACTGGCAAGTAATATATATTTTCACTTGTTCAGGAATCAGACGTGATGACTCTACATTGTGTGTAATACCTTTTGGTTCATGAGTGGCTCTCCCTGAGACAGAGACATGTAGAGAGACAGGAAGACAGAAACACAGGCAGACAGAAAGTCAGATAAACAGAGACAGAGATAAACATAGAGCTAGACAGACAAATAGTAACAGATAGAAACAGATAGACAGGCATGTTTATGTGCAATAGTTAAATATAAAACCAAGGCAGTGCACGATCATCAAATGTCACTCTACTGCTGTACTATCAGCAGTGGAGTGACACTCGTCTTACACCATGCTTCAAGGAGTTTCATATATATTCCAGCATTTCTAAAACATTGCTGGGATCTGGCAAAAAAGGCAAAAACAGTTATTTATAAATACATTTTTCTTATTTAAAAACCCGTAATAAAAAAAATTAGGGTGGTTTTTGGGGGGCTGGAACGGACTAATGGCATTTCAATTAATTTCAATGAGGAAAACTGATTTGATATACGACCAAACTGACTTACGAGCACGGTCATGGAACAAATTAAACTTGTAAGTCAAGGTACCACTGTATAGGAAACCGGAAGGTCACGTACCGCTGACCGCGCAGCAGCATCCACCTGTTCATTGACCTGAACATCAACATGTATAAACATGTGAAAGAAGTGTGATGAGGCAATATAGGAAAACACCACAATCACCTTCAAAACTAGGTCAATGTAGGACAGTTTTGTAGAGCTAAGTGGCAGGCCCAGGAACTAGGTTTCAATTCCTTCGTGCGCGAGCACGCATTCACGCCCACAAATATACACACATGCGCGCACACAAATATGCAATGTGTGTGTCTATCTGCTTCTCTCTCTCTCTCTCTCTCTCTCTCTGGGTTTTTCCTAACTTCTACAGTTTCGTGGTAAACTTGGTGTGCAAGTAGAGGTGGTGGGCAGTTTTGTTTTCCCTGGATGCTCTCAAAGTTTGCTTCTCTGGTAACTGGACCGGGCTTAATTGGGGTAACTTTATCCATATCCCGTCCTCTTCCCCCGCGCTGATCTAGACTGATGGCGACTGTACACACTGAGAGGTAGGATACACTGGTAGAGGAGATGGTGGAAGGCAGCGTTATAATACAGAAAATTGACCCAGGGCGAAACTCTATAATGCTCTGTGTTTCTATCATATTGTCGACAATACCTGCCATCATACCATGCTTGTAGACAATACCTACCATCCTGCCATACTTCTCGACAGTACCCGCCATCCTATCATACTCGTCGACAATACTTGCCCTCCCACCATACTTATAAACAATGCCTACCATCCTGCCATACTTCTCGACAGTACCTGCCGTCCTACCATACTAGTTGATAATAGCTGTCATCCTACGAAGACAGCGTTAGGAAGTTTTGTTAAAGCAGCCGCTATTGTACGGTATCCTGTTCTCGGGGGGGATGGGGTTACCTTGATGCTCGTGAGTGCTTCTGGACATAGGAATTGCAGCTATATTTCCGTAAGACCAATTCTATCTTCCATTCCCAGAAGCGTTTAGTGCTTCCCCAAGTGTATAACAACAATAATTATAAGAAGAAAAACAATAATAAAGTGCATCTGACTTAATGGTATGGGTATGTTTGATAAGGAGACTTAGATGTATAGGGAAAAACGTTAATGGAATGGTAGTGCATGAAGAATAAGTTAGTATGAGTGTGAATGGGAACAAGAGATTTTCATAAATTTAAACAGTAAAAATATACAGGAAAGCGAAAATATTAGGAGATTAATAAAAAAGTTAGAATAGATAGTTAATATTGAAATAAGAGAAATTAGTTGCATAATAATGGGGAAAGAGAATCATTAGAGAAATATCTTCAAAATCCAATAGGCCGACTTAAAGGTGGAGTGGCTCCATCTCTGGAAGAATGGACCAGGTGTGTGTTTATGAGAGGGAAAATGGGGGAGAATCGTCAGGTGTACATTTTTTCAAACGCATGTCCACACACCATGGTCACCCAGTCAACGGCTAGTCACCACCACCTCAATCACCTCCGTCACCACCACCACCACAATCACATTTACCAACACCAACACCAAATTCACCACCACCACCATCAGTTGCATCATCACGACCATGATCACCTCTATCACCATCACTATCACCATCACCTACACCATCACAGTCACCACCACCTACACTATCACCACCTACACCATCACTATCACCATCACCATCTACACCATCACTATCACCACCACCTACACCATCACTATCACCATCGCCACTACACCATCACCATCACCACCTACACCATCATTATCACCACCTACACCATCACTATCACCATCACCTACACCATCACCACCTACACCATACTATCACCATCACCTACACCATCACCACCTACACCATCATCACCTACACCATCACCACCTACACCATCACTATCACCATCACCTACACCATCACCTACACCATTACTATCACCATTACCACCGCCTACACCAACACTATCACATCATCACCATCTTGAAATATCTTTTCTGATTGTAAATCTTATATGCTTATAAGAAGTACTGTATATTAGTATTTATCCATCAGAGTGAGTCTGAGTTGTGTCGTTATTCAGATGGCGAGTTAAATTTACCTGTGGCGTTTTCCAGATTCCTTGGGTCATGAGTAATTAATCCCGAAAGGGGCAAAAGAAAATATTAATTAGACTCCATGGGATCCTTCCCCGAAACTCCGTAGGCCCTTGAAAATCTCATTCGCCCCTGTTATACATATCTTAGCAACCAAATTAAATACAGCCATGTATGATTCATCATGTTATTTGTTTATGCATATGGATTAAATATCACCATTATTTTTACTGTTAAATGTACCTGAAGCACATAAGAAAAATTCTGGAAAAAATACTGATATTTCCATCCCAGTCACTGGCATACAAGTGTACATATTAAATAGCGCTTCAAAGCACTCTTTTACATCATTTTATTAGCTTTCAAATGAGATTAAAATGAACATCTTAAAATGACGTACAACACAGTAAAGGAGAATTATGCAAGACTAGTTTTTAATCTGCTGTCTAACAGAAAGGCAAGAAACAATTGTCAGTATTAACTGAAGTAGTTATAACTGTAGCAGACTCATAGTATTACAGGACCGAAAAATAAAAAGTTTTGCATAGCTATTTGCAGAGGACAGTGTAGGGTAGCTTTTGTTGCAGTTGCAAAACTGACTACAAGGTTTTGACAACCGCACTTAACCAGCTTCCACACTGCTGCAACTTGTGGGATAGTAATCAACTGTATAACAAGTGTCTTTTCAGTTCCTTTCCAACCATGTAGACAGTGGTTGGTTCTCGAACTAGTGGATCATGGACAGATGCTCAAATGCTGGCCTGGTAGAAAGCCCGTTGATAGTTGTGATAGAGAGCATTCCAAGTTAGTAGAATCATCTCTGCTTTCTGATTTTGATAGCAGAACAACTGTTTCTTGAGGTGGTTCACCCAACTTGTACCTCCATAGACCAGAATAATGAAATGCTCCAGAAAACTGAAGAACAGATTTTTGTCTTCATTTCATTAATGGGTTGAAAGAAACCTATAGCATCAATGACATCGTCAAGGCACTTCTGCAAGTTTTTGAAAAAAAGGCGTTTAGAATACCCTCTCAGGTCAAAAGCTGAGTCACAGACAGTGACTGTAGCAAAATGAGGAAGGGTACTACATAATTTTCTATCTAAAGTTTCAGTCATGTCCCTGATGTTCATAATGCGTTGATATCTCCTAGTGCTGTAGCTGACAGAAACTTCATACTTAGAAATAGCTGTGGCTTCGAGGAGAGAAACGACTGGTAAGAATTCTCACATCATCAGAGTCGGAGGTTCTCCCTAGAATGTTTGTATGGTTTATCCTCAGAGCATGAAACGCCGAACGCCCGTCCCTGACTCAGACATTGTACGCAGACATCGATAATGGTGGAAAAGTGTATAAAGCATCGAAAATAACGAACAATGACTCAGTTGAAAACCTGTTGGCCTCTTAGGGGTAAAATTTCAGTAATCTAAGGTAATATAGCTACATCAACCACGTTAAGTCAGCTGTGGCAGACGTAAATAATATGGGGCAGTGGTGGCTCCACGGTCAGCTAAACATCGGTCATTCAAGGTAATGGCAGCAAAATTCGAGTCACTGTCCCGAACCATCAAAACTTCCGGACCATAAATGCCGGACTAGTGAAAGGGATGTAGGCGGATGGTCGAAATATACAATAGTCTTATTTGCTTCCGTTTTGTCTACGTGTGGGTTCCTTGTCAGTATTTCTTTACAATTCTAATAAAGTACCTGTGTCATCAACCACTATTTTGATTAATATTTATTTTTATTCCCCAGAAGTGGTAAGTTTATTAACGATATGCCTATGTGAAACGTAAAGATAAAATTTCCTTCCATCTGCTTCCTCTGTTCGCCTTTCGGTAAATATGCACCTGAGTGATAGTCAACTGTTGTGAGTCTCACACTGGGATGAAAAGATTGACTGCAGTATACGTATGCTATAGGAGATAATATTGACAGGAAAATCTTCATCTTTTTCACCTTATTCTCCTCTTCTTCTCACCAGGTTCAGCAGCTGTGACGACATCGTCAATAGCAGTGGATGAAAGTCAGCTAAAAAGGTTTCGTTTTCTTTGTTGCAGGTATAGCGTAGTGGAGGTCAACAACGGAGGTGTGGAGACGAGACTGGCGCCGGAGCCTCCACCTCTATGCTCCAAGGACGAGACAGGTAGTCTCTTGGGCTCCGACAGTCCACATCACCTCGAGGTAAGCACTTTTTCCACTTCTTTGCCTCTTATACGTGTTGTATGTTCGATTCACTGTGTATATGTGTATATTCGTCGGAAAACGGCGTTCTGGCAGGAACTAAGTCAGGTGAAAAGCCCTATGGCTGGGGCCCAGTTCATCCAGTACTATGAATGGGTCTATTAATTCTGAGCTATGGGTGGGGCCGGATGTTTGCTGTCTGACAATCGGGGTGCTACTGACCTTAACGGTGGGGTGCGGCAGATCATCTGTGTAGTTAAACAAAACAAGTTTAACTATTTGGCTACTGGCAGGGATGTGCCGGTGGTGCCTTCATTCCTGTGTACAACTATGGTGGGGCCAGCCCTGAGTGTGAGCCTCAGCTCCAGGAAGAAATCACACACACACACACACACACACACACACACACACACACACACACACACACACACACACACACACACACACACACACAACAAACAAGCACACAAACACACTTGATCAAACACGTAAAAGAAATTAGAGAAAGTGCAAAGGTTTGCGACAAGGTTAGTTCCAGATCTAAGGGGAATGTCCTACGAAGAAAGGTTGAGGGAAATCGGCCTGACGACACTGGAGGACAGGAGGGTTAGGGGAGACATGATAACAACATACAAAATACTGCATGGAATAGACAAGGTGGACAAAGACAGGATGTTCCAGAGAGGGACATAGAAACAAGGGGCCATAATTGGAAGTTAAAGACCCAGATGAGTCAAAGGGATGTTAGGAAGCATTTCTTCAGTCATAGAGTAGTCAGGAAGTGGAATAGCCTAGCAAGTGAGGTAGTGGAGGCAGGAACCATACATAGCTTTAAGATTAGGTATGATAAAGCTCATGGAGCAGGGAGAAAGAGGGCCTAGTAGCATTCAGTGAAGAGGCGGGGCCAGGAGTTGAGTCTCGACCCCTGCAACACAATTAGGTGAGTACACCACACACACAGACACAAACACACATACAACCGAGGAAGAAGTGAAGAGGCTGCTAACCGAGCTAGATACCTCAAAGGCAATGGGGCCGGATAACATCTCTCCATGGTTCCTGTGAGAGGGAGCAGAGGTGCTATGTGTGCCAATAACAATCTTCAACACATCTATCGAAACAGGGCGACTACCTGAGGTATGGAAGACAGCAAATGTAGTCTCAATTTTTAAAAAAGGAGACAGACACGAAGCACTAAACTACAGACCCAGTATCACTAAAATGTATAGTATGCAAATTCACGGAGAAGATTATCAGGAGAAGATTTAGATTTTGCCACCGAAGTGGCTAGTTTACTGTGCACCCCATATCCATCCTGTGGATGGCAGCGCAAGAGCAGGGTCCATACATAGATTTAAGAAAAGGTATGATAAAGCTCATGGAGCAGGAAGTGACCTAGTAGCGACCAGAGAAGAGGCGGGGCCAGGAGCTGTGAATCGACCCCTACAATCACAACTAGGTGAGTATACAGACACACAGACACACACACACACACACACGTACACACACACACACACACACACACACACACACACACACACACACACACACACACACACACACACCACACACACACACCACACCACACACACACACACACACACACACACACACACGGGGCCAGGAGCTCGGACTCGACCCCCGCAACCTCAACTAGGTGAGTACACACAACACAACACACACACACACACACACACACACACACACACGTACACACACAATTAAAAATCACAAAAATCAGGCCAGATGTCTGTCGACAAGTGCCTTTGACAACTGGTAACTAATTAATACCCCTCTTCCTCTCTCTCTCTCTCTCTCTCTCTCTCTCTCTCTCTCTCCTCTCTCTCTCTCTCTCTCTCTCTCTCTCTCTCTCATCTCTCTCTGCTGTTGGTGCTCTACGTGCCATCTTTCGAATTTAAAGAAAAGTTTTGAGAATTAAATTTTACCTGCAGGGTTTTATAGTCTTATGGAACTAACGCTCCAAAGGAAATCACGTAACTGATTCTAATAGGATTTAGCTTGGAGATGAATTCTTCGAACTAGTAATTCTTTTAACTGGCGCAATAGTTGTCTTGGATAGAGCGCGCGCGCGTGCTTGTGCTTGTGCTTGTGCGTGTGTGTGTGTGTGTGTGTGTGTGTGTGTGTGTGTGTGTGTGTGTGTGTGTGTGTGTGTGTGTTGTGTGTATGAAAGAGAGAGTTTTTCTTGCTGGTTCGCCTGAGAGGCAGGCCAGTGGGTGCTCTTCCGTGATCCGTCACAGGGTCAGTGGATACCACAATAGCATGTGATAGTGGACACCAGCGTCCATAGCACCACACGCCAGCGGTGCTGTGTGCCTCACAGAAAAAGTTATCATTTGACAAAGCCCCGTGTCAGGTGATTTTCTCTGAGGAATGTAGGAACATGTGTTGAAAACACATGTTCCTGCATGGGAACAGAATTGCATGGGAGCAAAATTATTAGGTCATGAGGCAGGAGGGAAAGCTGGTATTGTGAGATAAAAGAACAGATGGGGTGCCTCGAATGGCATAGTTTGGCTTCTTCAGGTATTAGTTTTGCAACTTAAAGCCATATTAAACGTAATTGTTTTGTTCTCTGGTATCAAAACTTTGAGTAACAAACTCCTGTAAATACTTTTATTACCCTGATGATGTTTAAAGTCAAGACTTAGACAAGTTAGTCGCGGAGAATTATACACGAGTTGCTAGTCTTGTAAGTGTACGAAGATTATTTACTTTCCTTTAAGTATTGTGTTTATGTCCCGGAATGTTTCACTAGCATCAGATTTACAGTATCCCCCGCCAGTACTGATATTCCCGTTGCTGCTGTTTGTTGCCATGGTGATGTCTGTAAGTGGTTTAATTTTCCAGTAATTTGAACCTGAGAGTGAGGGAGATGGTGGTGGAAGTACCTTCTAATGATGAGATCTCAATTAGGTCTAATTCATTTTCTGGTGTTGTGGACTTGTGTCACTCTTTACTTTTTTTAATAATTCAGGAACACTTCAATTTGTGGTAATACTGTGACAAGTACTTCCTCGAAGAACTCGTGGCTGTATATTTTGTATTCGCCGAAACTGAAAAAGTCATCTTTTAAATTTGAGGTCAAACTAGAAAACACTCGCTTCTCCCGATACCTTGATAATGAAACCTGATGCAGCACTTAGATTTAAAGAACATAGAGAATCTCAACAAGAAAGAAGATTTAATGCCCCTCTGCTCACATCAAGACAACAATAAACAAAAGATAACTGTACCATCCACACATTCCTGCACCACTCCTTCCTTACTAAGCCTCCTCGTTAAACATACTTAAAAATAAATTTCCAACCAACTCCTTCTCCATCAACTGCTACTACTTACACCACCAACTCTGGCAATAGCGGCGGTTCCGGTTCCTCCTCTTTTTCTCCCTCTTCATTTTCCTCATCTTGTCTTGTTCTATTATTCTTCCTCCTGCTCTTCATCGCGCAGCTCGATCGCTAGCGCACTCAGCTCACACACTGAGGTCTGGGGTTCGAATCTCGTCCGGTGCGACTGGAAAACATTACGGACGTGTTTCCAAAACTGTCCTGCTGTCCCTGTCCCTGTCCCTGTTCACCCATCTGTTCAAAGTGGGTACCTGGGTCTTAGTCGACTGGTGTGGGTCGCATCCTGGGAGAAAACTGACCTAATTTGCACGAAATGCTCAGCATAATAAGCGGCTTTCTATAAAGCAGTATGTCAGTAATGTCACCTAGGGATGTATACCATGTACATGTACTTGTAGTAAATAAAGATATTATTATATTATATTTTTGTTCGTTTTCGTACTCGACCTCCTCCTCCTCTTCCTCTGAAACATAGCTTGCATTTTTTATGCTACTTTCACTAAACTCGATACACACAATTTGCAGAACGAGTTTTTTCATGGCTGAGCTCTATGAAGTATGAGCGAAATACTGTATCAATTAAAGCTTCGTATATGTCTGTACTCTTTACGACTCTCCTTCCAGACTGGTTAAACTTTGTCGTTCTATCGTATTTTTATTGAGATTTGTGTGGACAGATGCTAACATACATTTGTTCCTATCAATAAATGAGTGTAGGTAGTTCTGTCATACATCAGTGTAGGTAGTTCCTCTCATACATCAATGTAGGTAGTTCTGCCATACATCAGTGTAGGTAGTTCTGCCATACATCAGTGTGGGTAGTTCTGCCATACATCAGTGTAGGTAGTTCTGCCATACATCAGTGTGGGTAGTTCCTCTCATACATCAGTGTAGGTAGTTCTGTCATACATCAGTGTGGGTAGTTCCTCTCATACATCAATGTAGGTAGTTCCTCTCATACATCAGTGTGGGTAGTTCCTCTCATACATCAGTGTAGGTAGTTCTGCCATACATCAGTGTAGGTAGTTCTGCCATACATCAGTGTAGGTAGTTCTGCCATACATCAGTGTGGGTAGTTCCTCTCATACATCAGTGTAGGTAGTTCTGTCATACATCAGTGTGGGTAGTTCCTCTCATACATCAGTGTAGGTAGTTCTGCCATACATCAGTGTGGGTAGTTCCTCTCATACATCAGTGTAGGTAGTTGTGCCATACATCAGTGTGGGTAGGACCTGTCATACATCAGTGTGGGTAGTTCATCTCATGCATCAGTTTAGGTCGTTCTGTCATACATAAGTGTGGGCAGTTCCTGTCATACATTAGTGTGGGTAGTTCTGTCATACATCAGTGTGGGTAGTTCCTGTCATACATCAGTGTGGGTAGTTCGTGTCATACACCAGTGTGTACAGTTCTGTCATACATAAGTGTGGGTAGTTCCTGTCATACATCAGTGTGGGTAGTTCTGCCATACATCAGTGTAGGTAGTTCCAGTCATACATGTGTGTGGGTAGTTCTGTCACTTATTTGTGTGGGTAGTTCCTGTCATACCTCTGTGTGGGTAGTTGTTTAAATATACTTCCTATGTTGTTTCCACCTTCCCGAAGGACATCTCATCCACCCATAGACTGAAGA